TTGCATTTTGCACATGTGAAGAGACCGCCCTCATTTTACTTAACCCAATTTTACCAAAATGCGAGATACATCATTTCTCCAACTGCAGGTCAATTTACTGTACTAAAGGAAGATACGCCCTCATTTCAAAATCAATGAGACAAAATCCACTTTGGAGGTTAAAATGAAAAATCAACCCAAAGGTGATATTCCTACCAACTTTGGTCACTATAAAAGTTGTAGGAAAGTGGGAGTGGTCTGTGTCCCTCTGTTGACAGTTTACATAGATGCTAATTCTACCTGGACGAAGCTGTTCTGATGAGTACTTCCCGGCACAGCTACGCTCACTTTTACTTCTCATTTTTGATTTTCGAATCATCACGTGACTCGCCTCGTTCTCCCGTTTCCTTTTCTATCACCACTTTTGTTATTTTCTGATATTTCTATAGGCTACGTTGAGCCCACAACAAACGCACCATCCAAATCACCATCTACAACCAAGTCACCACCGGCCGGTATATCCACCACCTTCTCTGTAATTGGGGTTTTGGAGGGGAAGCTGTAACGTTTATTTATTTATTTTATTGTAATGAGCAATAATGTCTCAAACTTGATTCAAGAAAAGCTTAAAATATAATTTAAAAAAGAGGGGTGAGCGTAAAATTGCAGACAGGCTGCAGTTTAAATCTGAGCATTGGATTGTAATGTCTTGAGGGAAAATTACTGGCAGGAGTCGATGTATAGTTCGTGCAGGTACGGAGATACACATTTACCTAATTTCCCTCATTTTGTGTTGATAATATCGATACGCAGCGCAACGGTACCCCTCGAAAAACTTCTTGATCGTTTGAAAACAGTATTTGCAAGATCAACATGCTGGAAAATAACTTATTCTTTAAGATAAAACATTTCAAAAGGTAAAATGTACCGCATGGGAAGCTAGCAGAATGTTTAATACCCTGTGACGTGTCTCCCAATATGGTATGTTACTAGTCCAGTGACGTCACATTATGAGTGGATGGCATTGTCACATTGATAACCTTGAAGTTTGTGGTTCCCTTGAGCGAGCAGTCTGGGTATATCGTTAGATGAGAAATTGATCAAAATGCCGAACAAGTTGTAAAGTACTATGCACAGTGGCTTACAACGAGGGAGGGGTATAACTGCCTTCTTTCCCAACGACTATCCCTTCCCTCAAAAGAGACATTGCCGACTAGCACCCCTTTGAATGTTGGCGAGACACCAGAATGTTTGGAGCCACGAAGAGCCAGACCGAAAGAAAAAAAATCTTCCTGTTCAGCCCTGGGGTACAAAATGATTTCAAATCCGAAGGAGTTACCGGTTTCAAAATCTTCAAGATGATTCGAAAATTAGCCTTTTGCAAAATGCTAATGCCTTGTACTTCATAGCTACAAACAGTGGCGCCGTGGTTGGGGCTGTGGTAGGAGTCTTCATTGCTGCGATCATCATTTGTGGACTGACCATCTTTTGTTGGATGAGGAAGAGAAGGGAACGACAGAAACCCACTCGTGGACAGTCAACCACTGGGAGAGATGGGAAGTAAGATATTGATGTTCTAGCGTGCCCAGTCTCGTTTTCATTTCAGCAAAAAAAAAGAGAAATTTTAAAAGTGGGTGGCGTTTTCTTAAATTACAAATTCTCAGCTGGACAGCGCCATGGCACTACGCGGGAGAATGATATAAACTTAACTTCATGGGAGAGCTTCATGGGAGAGGTCTTGGAAAGTAGAGCCGTTGCTCCCTGGGTCTGTGTAGAGAAAACCTAAAGCTCCTAAAGCTAAACGATTGCCGATCTTGAACCTGGCTTATTTTATTTGCAGAGGTTATTTTAAGCCTGACCGACAACATCATGTTGAGCTGCAGAGGTCAGGGTCTAATATGGTTGCATCCTCATCAAAGGACGATCAACCTAACGGCAAGTGTTTTGGAATGATATTGATAGAAAATTTTTCGGTGCCTGCTGTATTAGACATGCTTCTCATTCAGATTTGCTTAGTAAATATGTTGGATTTCGTAATCTAAATTTACATTCATCCAAAAATTGCTAAATCACACAAATGACGAAACAAGAACAGCGATTGAAAATGAATTTACGTGATGACATATAGAATTCTATCAGTTGCTGTTAATAAAACTAATAGGAATGTGAA